AGAGAATGCCACTAGGCTTTAAGTCCGCCATTGTATACAATTGCAAAAAGTGTGAATAAATAAAAAATAAATAAATTAAACTGGAGTGTCGAAATGAAAGTTAATCTTTCAAGGATTAAAGGGATTGTGGTGGCATTGTGTTTGATTGTGTGATTGGTTTCATATACATAATAAGATATTGTTCGTCAAGTAAGCATTTCATTCATTCAATTTTTTTAAATTAAAAAATCTAATTTTTCTTTGGCCTTGGCACTACACAAAATTATATTATTTCACTAAATTGAACTTGTGTATCCCATTAAACCATAATCTTCAGAAAATGAAAATCTTTATCTTAAAATTTCAGCGCAGCACCGCGAACGAGTACTTCCTCAGATTAACTACTAAGACTCCGATCAATCAAAAAGATAGATTGATCTTTCCTGAATCCGATCTTATTTTAGAATATTAACTTCTTTTTTCAATTAAATGATCAATATTAATAACAACGCATGAATAAGTGCTTATCTCTACACTTATACATTATCAATGGAGACGATAGGGTAAAATACATTTTGGAAATATGTTCCCGAGTACTGAAAAGCTACTTAATTTTAAATAGCGTAAGACATACCAGACGTTAAAATTGCTTTTCAGTATTCGGGGGCGTAAGGAACAAATAAATTAGACATCGACCAGGCAACAGCACTCTTTGATAAATCTATCTGTTCGAGCTGCGATTGCTTGCCTGCTGAACCTATTTTTTTGCTGTTGATGATGATGATGATTAACACTTTAAAGTTTGGTCTCTATCCAGCTTGCAAAGTGTGGCGATTATAGCAAACCTTTGTATGTAGATGAGGCTATACTTAAGCCGTGGACTGTTCCAGACTGTTGATAATGAAATGATTAATATTTCGAGTACCTTCCAAAGGATTGTTTCAATATATAATTATTAGAAAAGATTTTACTAAATTTTACAAAATTTCCTTCCATAAAAGCAAAGGTTACCGCCGAACACTCGGAAATTGCTTATATATTAATAGAAATATAAAAACGTGGACTAAAAGCATTGACCCATTGCTAGTTGCTAGAGGCGCCTCAATGTCTACAGACATAGTTCCAAGCCAGTAACAGTCGTCTACTGAGCTCGACTGCGAGGATTACGAAACCTTTCAAATGTCTAAATCATATTTACTTTGTACCTATTTACTCGTAAGTAAACAACTTCATATCATGACAACTGTTACAATGTCACAGGTTTTTAATCTTCAGAGTTGGAGCAGATGAAGGTGGAAATAAGTTGGATAATTACTTTAAAAGTGTTTCATAACTATATAACGCAAGGTTTTATACTAACTTTTCATGATTAGTTTTATGTGTATACACATAAGGTTTATACTCAAAAAACTGCAGCAAGCTATTATTACATGAAGAATAAGTTATTAATTAAAGTATTGATAATTCTACCAAATTTTAAGGCACACATGTCGCCCATGTCGAGTATACAGTCGAAAAATATATAAATGAAAATTGCCAAATTAAATTCTAAAACCAAAAATCCTCTATGTGAAATATGCGGTCGAATCTCGACTAGTACGCGACCTCTATTATATATTTTGAGTCGAAAGATATTGACCCTCAGACTGGCTACGGCGACGACGCCGCGCTGTCTACGCCGCTACGCGCGTAGGCGTCTGTAGCACAATGCGTAGCTCGGCTACGAGTTACGAATGTAGCCACTTTTATAGTGTCAAGGGGTTTATGGACTTGTGGCAAAGAGGCCAACATTGTTTTTATGGTACTTAGGCCTTGTTTAACTACCTCTGATTAAGTTTTGGTTTATGTAACTGGCGGATGTATCATTACGTTTTGGTGCAAAGTAATTCTGTATGCAATGTTTACGAAAGCAAATAATAAAATGTTAAACAATAGCTAGTAAATTAATATTTTGTTGTTTCAACTTTTGATTGCTTCAATTGTTTTTCATAAAATGTGTGACAACTACCTATTGTTATTAATAAGCAATGACGTTTCAATTCATACAATTGAAAATTTGATTTCATTTTCTGTAAACCGCTGTTAATAGTAATTAAAATAAAATTTTCAGTTTCCAGCTACAAATGAGCCTACATTGTTTAAGCCGTACCTGTATAATACCATTGTGTCATCAAAATACATATTCCAAAATATATTTTGTAAAATAATAAAATGATAATTTCATAAAGTCTTTAAACAAATAACAGCTTTATTTAGATTTTTTTTAAAACTCATCGCTTAAATAAAGCTAAAATACACCAAACGGGTTACAATAAATGACATAACCCTACCGGCGGCGCAATAGTACAAAATCACGGCGCGTATCTCAGACGGCCACCAGTGACATACAGAGGGTTACTGGTTACGTAATACCGGCCTTCAAGGCCAAGGCGGCCGGTAATGAAAGCGTCGGCCGACAATTACGGCCTACTGCACTCGCCGGCTTTGGGGTTAGCCCTTTAGACATTCAGATCCGTTGAATGCTCAGTTTGACTGAAGATTTCATGCAAGATGTAAGAGATTTGTCTTTTTTAAGTAATGGCACCGTTCGTTCTTTCTTTCATCTTTCTAAAGATGTTAAAAATGTTTTTTTTTTCTATTGTTGCTACAAAAACACTAATCGAAACTTGTTTGTGTACTGTATGATTCATGTACTTCAAACTTTGTATACAAATTATATTTGTTTTCTACAAATATTGGCTCCCAAATACTTGTTTTCCTTTTTATGGAAATGGCCCAACCTTGCCAAAAATCTAAATATTAACTTTATCACTAAACAAATATTGGGAGAGCTTGTAACTCACAAAGTTAAATACAAACAGAGAACCAAAAATACGACCGACATTTAATTGCTTACTAAAGTCCTTCCCCGAAGAAAAATCATATTATGTAACGTAATGTTAAAAAATCATTTTGCGAAGAGGTCTTTCAACAAAACTGTCTATTGGGAAATCGAAATGTTAGTTGCGACAGGCGAGGTAACCTATCCTTTCAAATTGATTCTCAATAAAATCATGTGTCTCTGTCTTTCTTGTTAGGTCTAGATGTGTGTGAGCGAGACAGAAGAAAGATTTCGAGGTCGCAATGTGTATTAATATGGTCATTTGATCTTGTTACAAAGTTTTACTTCAAGTTTTGGTATAGACCCTGCGAGAGTCATCTAGTGCGAATTTATGTTCGTCACTGTATTCAACTTCTTTTTTTAGGAAAAGAATTCTGTGAGTTTGTTATCTATATTGTTATTCCCTCTTTTGTGACGAAGCCTGTGTATTTTATCTTAAAATGACCAAATTCTGTTTGAAGTCATATTAGTAGATGGTACTATATTTCAACAAAATAATTAAAAGTTTTGTATTTATTTAAGATTTTGGAAATCCGAGAACTTGTTATAGTATATGGGTTTTTTTATATGATGATATATGATATAAATTGAACTTAACTTAAAAAAAAACTAAAATATTGTAGTTAGCGGAACAAAGGGCATTTTTGTTTTATAGTATATACATTAATGTATAATGGTCCAACGTTTGACTCCTATCATTGATTGAATCAAGGTCTTTGTTTCCAACAGTATAAATACTAATATGGTCAAAATTGAACTTCTTGCAGTCAGTTTTAAAAAAAAAACTACGAGCGTCCGTTACCTTAATATTAAACAGCTCAACGCACACATACAACTTACAGATACACAAGTACAACTTGGCTTAGGACTATTACTTACTTAAAGACTAACTTGTTTGATTTAACACCGCGACTAATTAGAACTTTGTCGATGTTCACAGCAACTACTGTTCGCATTATCACATTAAACTTATTACAACTGCCTATGACCGGTCAATATGAAGATTTCAGTTTGACAAAGAAGGTTTTAATATATGATTATATAAAGCCATAGAATTTGTTTTGTTTAAACGCGTTTAACTAAGGAAGAGCTTTTTAACCGACTTCAATAATTTGGAGGTTCTTAATTAGACCATGTATGTATGTTTGTGCGGAATTTTACACCATTGGTAGGATTGATTTTGATGTGGGTTTCAAAAAAGTGTTTGATACTCTTTGGAGAAGGCTTCAAATAAAGAAGAGGTTGAATTCGGTTTATGTAAACATTGTTAATAAAAGAATTATTATTGTGTTGAATAGTCCATTTATCAAGGAAGGGTATAGAGCAAAATATTACGCTATTATTAATAGGATACGAGCAGTGAGTGAAATCGTGAGTGAGTAGTTAGTTTTGTAGAGGTATAAGATTTAATGATATGTCTGTAGTATTAAAATTCTGTGCGTTGTTGTCGTGGTTGCTGTTTCAATTAAATAACCTTGGACAATGATCTGAATAAATTTCTTCTTTTTGGGTCTAGAATTAAAATAAATACAAAAAAAAATATTCATGATTATGACGACAACTATTTATCCTAATTTATATTTTTTTTCAAAATCTGAACGAAGTCCGCTTTATTGCAATAATCTGCGATAAGCTGCATCGGTATCCGATTTAAAGCATCACGCTGAATCTGAAACTGAATCACTGAATCTGAAATTCAGTTCGCTTATTAGTGTTCAACTAACAACGTAATATTATCACTATACGGAAATTATTTAGGCCACGATACAAGCAGGTTAGGTTCTAATTAGTCGTATGTTTTGTATTTGAGCAGTAATTGGAAATTATAGTGACTTTGTCTAATTACACATTTTGTGGTTAGCGTTACAAAATTCCCGTTTATTTGCAATATTAATTAAGATTTAGGAATGTAATGAGTGATGACATGCCAGTAAATCATCGTTCTTATCAACAGCCTATGACAGTCTTAAAGGATTTGCTATAACCTTTATGTTTGGCAAGCGACTTGGAGATTGCCCTGACACCACACGGTTCCAATGCTAGATAAAAGAGACGAACAAGTGCCAATACTGTAACATCTCTCATACTGCCAATGAGAGGTGGCGACGACCGCGACGGGTTGAATAAGCAATGTACTTACGCCTCGGTGTTGTCATCTCTGGACTCGGAGCGCTCCGTATTGCACTGGCCGCGGCGGTGCCTGGCTCGCTGCTCGTCCCCCAATCCGTAGAGGCCGGCGACGGCCGCCATGCTGGTCGGACGCTCGCTCCCGCCACACTCACATGCTCCACCGACACAACCGAGTCAAATTCATCTTCCACCGTCAAACTGTCATCACACGGTCCACTCAGCTCAGCTGACACTCACTATACAACTAATTACTCTACAAGAAAAATTTGGACGCATAACTTGGTACAGTACACTAATTTTTCTTCTTCTAATTTATAATTAAAATCACAATTATTATTATTGTACCTCGTCATAAGTTGTATTGTTAGCTAGGCTACATTTGTTTTTGCTTATTGTTATCGTTGCCGTTGCGAGTCAGTGTAGCTGCTCGGGTTTATGTTCGTGATCCGCTGCATCTGTTGGTGTTATAACATGTTTTCTAGATATCCAGCGCCGCCGTCTCCGAGACCACAAAGAGCGATTGCATTTATTAATTGTTTAAGATCCTTGTTTTAGAGCAGGGTTATTACAGTGGTGACACGATAAAGTCGTAAATAATGCAACTGACTGATCGATATATTATGTGGGTCAGCAGGATGTGAATAATTCATTAACTTGTATCGAGTAAGTGCCAGTTCATAAAAGAAGTACACGCTAGGTAAGTTACTCTTATCATGACTGGTAAACCCCAGAATGCCTATGTACATTGCTACATCTAGAACAAACTGAATAGTTGAAGTTATCTTCAATAGTTTTACACCAGATTCTTGATTGAGGCTCGGAGTTTTTACTTGGGGCTCGGTCAAGTGGCAATTGATAGCGGGGCTGAGCGCTACCGTCATACATATTTATGTAACCAGTATGCTGAGGGCTCTATTTAAATCCTGAGGGGTGAGGGGTGATGAATTGTTTCAAAGCCGATGCGTGAGGAAGTAAAAATAGGACGTAAGTACGATATACATATTTTAAGGATGAAAACGCGTATATAATATATTTTCTGCGATTCTATAAACAAGATTTTTTTAAATCGTTAATCGGTAAGTAAATAGTTGACGTCTTTAGCCGGCTACGACGATATTTGTCTGTTGAGACTATCGATATAGATCTGATCACTGTTACCTCTATAATGTCTAACTATTAAGTAACGAACAGGATAGTTTGTTATTTTATGGCTTAAGAACCGTTTAACCACTATAGCAAAAATCCCGATTTTGCTTACGTTTCGTTTTTGTTTTTGTTTCGCTATGTTTCTAAAAACACATTTTACCCTACTTACCTACTTATGATGAACAATTAAAGTTTAATAAGTAAACTACTATTATATTCGATATTCTCAATTTATCGATACCAATCGGTAATCGATACAAATTGGATAACACACTATGGCAAAGGGATTTACTCTCTGTTTGTGCCTTAATCAAATCATTGTTTGTGCACGTCGGCACTCGGCGACACGCTGGACAATGTTGTGTCTGCATCAGTCAACATCTGTTTGCCTTGTCTACCTCGCCTCGCCTCGTCTGCCTCGCCTCGTCTACCTCGCCTCGCTTTTCCAGATAATCATGAATCAGTAAGCGCTAACTTTGCTCCGTTTGCCAATTCTGTGTAAATATCTCGCGGTTGGTATTGTAATTGCAATCGTAAAGTTAAGAGATCAAGTTTGGAATTGTTAATAAGTGATCTGGTTACATGTTGGGTCGGTGGTTTTTGTGTTGTACCACTATTATATTATGGTTTTAATATAATTGGGTAGAATTATAAAACCGTATACGTATACGTTATAAAACCGCTAAGAAGAAATACAAATATGTCCAAACAATCTTTGAGTGGTCAGAACCTCAAAAAACATTTTGTTTATAAAAAATGAAAAACGATAGTTAACCCTTAATTCAAGTTCTCAATAAACAAAATTAAACCTCAAAAAACGGTCACATTGAAGTGGCATTCAGATGTTCAGGTAAATAGATCTCTTTCCGCTGTGTTGGCAGCATTGAAATGTAAAATATGTTATCTTATTGGCGTACAGCGGCGGAGATCCGAGGACTGTCAATATTTGTAAGAAACGTGCAAATGGCACAAAGTTACAAACCATTTTATTAAGTAAATAGAGGTATATTATGTATCTTTAATTACTTAAATAACCGCTCTTTGGATATAGGCTCGTTGCTTCAATCGTTTAAGTGGTTTCTGTATTATTGTAGATGACTAATTTTTATTTGTAATAATGTCCGTCTGATTATTAAAAATATTACAAACGTATATTTTTTTTACGGAAATGAATATTTTCGAAGATACATTGATTTGAAATGTCGCGTGACGTCACTTATTAGTACATTTTATACGTAGAAATGACGTTTTAGCTCAGTCCTAAACTTTGATTCGTTATGTCTACGTATCGTTTTATTATACGACAAAATAAAAAAATACGTGTCAAAATAAAATATTTTCATTACCTAACTGACAGACTAATTAAATTTTTAATTTTTATAATCTGTCATTATCCCTATTGTCTTATAAGTCTATTAATGATATTGTGGATTTCAGGCTTAATTTTTTTTTCTGGGTAATTTATGAGTATCTATGGTTATAGAAACAAAAAAATTTCGATATTAAAACAGCTTCGATATTAAATGTCTTTAAAATAGTTTATAGAAAACTATCACGTTTAATATTCCGTGACTAATTGAAAACCGTGAGTTATCGTATAGGTTTTTGTTTTAAAACATGGTGGGAGAGCCATGCTTCGGCACGAATGGGCCAGCTCGACCGGAGTGATACCATGACCTCACAGAAAACCGACGTAAAGCAACGCTGGCGTTGTATTTCGTCGTGTGAGTGAGGTTACCATAGGCCCAAATTCCCTCCCCTTCCCCAATCTCCCCAATCCCTGAATCTCCAACGATCCTCAAACTCCTAATCCCCAAAAAGCCGGTAACGCACTTGTAACGCCTCTGGTGCTCCAGGTGTCCATGGGCGACGCCAATTGCTTACCATCAGGTGATCCGTCTGCTCGTCTACCGGTTTATGCCATAAAAAAATGGCTTTAAAGAATAAGTCAATATTTAAAGAATAAAAATATTGTAATAATTACTTACGAAGAGAAGTGTGTGAATAAAATACACAGAGAAAATTCTTATACGAAGCGTAATACAATAGCCAGCATATAATCACACTTTTCATTGTGCCACGCTGCATATTTTAATTGCATTTAAAGCCAACTATGAACAAAGTACTGTAGAACAATGGTTTTAATATAAGTATAAATTATAGCGAGACTGCACACGATTATAGCCCTTTCAGAACTTTGTGTGCATATTGCAGAGCTCAAATATTTGTACGCATTTGTGTGCAGTTGAAGAAGAGTTATTCAAGAAAGAAGTTAATGACGACAACTACTAGTTACTATTACTTCAACTGTTTTGGAAATGCATTTTCGTCTTTTTATGAACCTTGAATCCGGGGGACTTGTTCGACTTGACTTACCACCATCATCATCAACAGCCTATAAAAGCCCACTGCTGAGCAAAGCCTCTTCTCACACGAAGAAGGTTTGAGCATTAATCACCACGTTTGCTCAATGCGGGTTGGCGATTACAGACTTATAATTAGAAATTATAAGCCCGGGTTTCCTCACGATGTTCTCCTTCACCGTTTGTCAGTGGTGTTTAGATAATCTTAGAAAGTGCCGTTGGTAGGTTTCGAACCTGCACCCTCATGCATGAGAAGCGGGCGTCTTAAACCTCCGGGCCACCACGACTTACCACCATAATATACCGATAAAAATTACAAACTCTGTTTTATTATTGGGAATTTCAATAAGTAAATAATTATACTTTTCTCAGTTCACAGATCGCGCCACTAGGTCGGAATGGACAGTCTGTGTTGAAATGAAATAAAACAATGGTCTGTCTTTAATCATTGTTGAAGATTAAAGTAGTCACTTCAAAACTTCCTACAGTGGTCACATAAACAGCTTTCCATTGACCAAGAAAATAAAAAAAATATAAAGACTTTAAAATGGCCAAGTGCCAGAAATACGACCTATCCAGTAGACAAATGTTAGTTTCTCAATTTTGCGGCTTGCCAAGATGCTACTGGACCTACTTTATGTCGGCTAGTTTCCAGTCTTGGCTAGTTCTGTAATTATGAAACTAGATAATTATTATTAACAGTTACGTGTGTCCATTTGGAGACTGAGCCAAGTTATTTTATATGCAGGTAAAAAATGTGATTGATTCAGCACATAGGCAGTAATTATCGTTGTAGGTACTAACTTCACTGACAGACTGACGGATGAACAATTCAATTTCTGACGTTCCGAAAGGGCCTAATTAAGGCTTAATTGGAATAAGTGCTCTGACTTCAACTTTACTGGGGGCTGATTTTTAATCAACACACAATTCTTAACTGTAAAATAGAATTGTCATTTGACAGTTCTTAGTATGGATTTCTATTTTAAAATAACATAACCGTACTGTTTGCACTAGTATTTACAAATTGAAAATTCATGGTTTACAGGGTAGCTTACCGATTGCTTTCTATTGAAATATTTATAGCTTTATTTATACAAAGTCTTCGAAGCGTTCGTTATTGTTGTCCATCATTCATTGAGTGATTGGAAATTGCTTCAATTTCGCGGCTTCGTGTGGTATAAAGATTATTTCTGGATGGAGTAAGGTTAGTATTAATAGTAATTTTCTTTTTTAGTTGACGAAGATGATGAAATATAGTTTATCCGATAATCTGAGAATAACTTAAACATCACAATACAATGAGGTGTAGTACATACCTACATACATGTTACAACCAATGTTCACCAACAATAGTCTAAGTCCAGTATAGAGATCTCGTGTTATTAGTCAAAAAGCCAATGAAACTCCGTGTTCAGCAGTAGTATTTGTGTCTATTCAACCAATACGGCAATCAATTTGATAATAATAATGTGTAAACACCTTTATCACCGCTGGCAATTCGATATCGGGGCAACAACGTTAGAAGTCCGGATTTATTGGGCCATTCATCACAATTAATGGTTTGACCGGATAATGCAATTAATGTTTAACTCTATCATATTACGCTAAATCGTATTTATAATCGATTTCATACTGAATTCCAATATTTTGGGTAAGCGATAATTTTAATATTATTTTTTTGGGGCTGAATTGTATTTAAGTTATTTCGAGTTACATATTTTAAGTCGCCAATCTGCCTTAAGTGAACGAAAGCGAAGTAAATTAAGTAAAAACGCGGGTTACTCACGTGAATATACTGAGAAAAGCTCTACGCAGCTCACTCTGTGTGAGTGAGCTGCGCGACGTCGCCGCGACCGCGCACGCTGCTCATGAGGAAGAACCCCTCTGTGGTTCGAAACTAGTAGAGCTTTTCTTAGTATATTCACGTGAGTAACCCGCGTTTT